GTGCAAAGAATTTAAACTGTGATGTGATTTGATTTTAGAATACCATCCAAGCTTACTCAGTTTATCAGATGAATACCAGCTGGTGCATCTGACAGCCAAAACTAGAAAAATAACCTCATTTAAAGATGGAAATCCCTATTCATGAGACCATTTCAGAGCCTTTGCTTTCCAGCAGGACTGGTTGAGCAGCATGTTCTGATCATTGGGGAAGTTTTGGTTTTCAAAGACAGATGGTCATTGTGTTTAATGTCTGTGTATTAATGTTCTGTTGATAAAAGTTATGAGTAAGTTGTTAATTTCTCTGGGAAAATATAATTAAACTGTTGAGATCAGGGGACGTGTGACCTGTGCTACTCTTGGTTCAGAGGCTTCAGACTCAATTAGCTTTGCAAAATTGCTGTGAATTTTTACCTGTTTGCTTCAGTTATGGGGAGAAAAGGTTCCTTTATTTACAGTAAATAGAAAACTGGGGGTTTTTTTTCAACCTCTTGGGAGCTTCTCAATCCTGATGTTCACTATTTTGAAATATAGGATGAGTGGTTCTCTATTTTCAAATACAGGATGAGTGAATGGTTCACTATTTTCAAATATAGGATGGTTCAGCTTGAGAGATCTCAACAGACTCATCACTGGGAAATCAAATGCTCTGGTTTCATTTCAGGCCATCCCTCTTTCCAGCTCCAGTCAGGTTGCTCTGGCTGGAAGCTTTCCTGGTTTTGTTTGTCGACTCTTAAAAGCTTAAGTTCTTTTTTTTTTCTGTCATGGATTTTAGCTTGACAGGAAAATACTGCAGCTGGAACATGTGCTGCTGTACCTGAAGGTATTAATTGGTTTTGTAGGCTGTTGTCTCCTGGGTTAGAGTGACAGGAAGGTGCTGAATTCTGACACCTGAAAGTGTTGACAATACTGGAATTTTTTTTCATGAACCATTCTTACCTGTTGCAATTATTTCTCCAAAAGGAGCCCTCCTTTTGGAGGAACTGGCTTTGATTTTATGCCTTTTTGGTGCCCTCATGCACTGGGATATTTAAAAATTGAGTTTAACTTGCAAACCATATCCTCATATATTTAAAAGAATATAGGAAAAGCTCCTTTTAAGAAGTAGTTGAAGGCAAATGTGATGTTACAGGGATGGTCAGTGTGTGCCTTTTTGCTGTTTTACACTTTTTTGTTACTTTTAACATGTTCTTCTGCAGGAGAACTCAGTAGTTATTGTCTCCATAGGTATATAAGCAAGAAATTATTTGAGACCTCAGGCCTGCAGGTGACTGCTTTGTGTCTGAGCTGCTTGACTCCCTCCTCTCCTGAGTGGGCTAAACCTTCATTCTTGTATTTCTTGAGTGTTTGCTCACTTGGCTGGGTGTCATTATTCCTAACTTGTGCTTTTTGATAGCATTTCTTTGTTCTCTTGTTAACTGGCAGCCCTGAGAAGTGAGATAGGATCACTTCATGAATTTATGGAATGTCTTACAGCTTTATACACCAAATTATTCATATAAGACCATTGGAGAAGTTGCTGTTACAGTTGTGGGAGCACTGTGAATCCCAAATAAAGCTGTCATTTACTTCTCAGCATCCTCTTGCAGTAGCATGAAAAAACCTCCCTGAAGTGGCTGAGCAATTATTCTGCTTTGCTTTAAACTTAAGGTGGCCTCAGTTCACTGGGATTCTTTTGGTGTTTGTTTGTTTGATGACAAATGAGATGTGTCTGTATTTCCTTCTGTTTGCTGGTTCTCAGATGAGATTCTCTTCTGTCTGTTCCTTCCCAGCCCCTTGAGCAGCTCTGGGCACGAGGGCTTCACTCACAAAGGGTATGAGGAGGGGAAAAGGTCCCAAATGCAGAGAGTTATCCAAAAACTTTTTCAAGTGGATGATTTCTGTTACAGTGGGTGAAGTTGAATAAAGTGGTGGATGCAGTGGGAAGGTAAATGTGGTATAGGAACTGTGCAGTTGAATTAATATTTCTCTGGGCTGAGGGTTGTTCCAAAGGAAAGAAATCAGCTGGATGCAAAGTCAGCAAAGGGATCTGGGGGTGAAGTGTTTTCCTGCTCTTCTGTATCACATTCTGACATTCTCAGTGGGTTTTGTTTCTGGTTGTGCTGTCCCTGACATAAGTTACCTGATTCTGTTGTTAAAAGCAATCCTTAGATTGTTTTTTTTTTTATTATTATTGTGGAAGTCAGGAACGTTCCTGTTCCTCGGTCACGTTTTACATTTGCAGACCTGGATGGCAACTGGAAGTTGTTGGCTGGCAATTCCCAGTTGGATTTTATGGGCAGAAGTCCCAGTTGGCAGCAGTTGCCTTCTTCACTGATGGGCAGAGGCAGAAGGAGTCTGGAGCCCGAGGACATTGTGCAGTTGGCAGGACAGGGACTGTTTGTGCCCCTGTTACCCGACTCCCACCTTGAGTGGGGAGGAAACCAGCAGAGCAAAGTCCCTTCCTGGGTTGGGGGGTGAGAGCTGAGATGCTCAAGGACTGTTCCCTTCTCCCTGCCAAGTCCAAGAGAACTTGGAAAAACAATGCTGATATAATAAAAAGGACTAATTTTAATTTTTTGAAAGATGTATGTTATGACTTGGCAGCCACACTACGGGACAGAGGATTTTTACCCCCCAAACTTGGAATATCTGCAGAAACCCTGACTGAGTGTTGCTCATGATTGAAACACACCAGTTGAGATTTATGTGTTTAATCAAGAGGGAATAATTCTAAAATTGATTCTCCCCTGCCCCCGAAACTGTTTGTGTATTAGTCTAAATGTATTTGTTGTGATACAACATGTCAGGATTTATAACTTTCATACAGTTCAATAGCGGAATTTCCAAATATAATTAGAGGGTTAAAGGCATTTAAAGAATAAAAGCACTTTAATGCCATTCAGCTTTTATTGACAACCCACTAATATCTGCTGCATTCACATAAAGATTTCTAATGGAATCCTGGGAGCAGATGAAAGCTCTGCTGTTGAAAAGCTCGGTGCAGATTCATCAGCTCCTCTCTGGGAATGCAGATGGGGAGCTCGGAGCTCCCCTGGCTCAGACCAGTGCTGCTCTTTGTTTTACAGGGGATCACATTAAGAGCTGGAGTAAGGAGGTAGATGGCAGCAGACTGAAACATTTATAAGCAGTTATTTTGAGTTATTAGGTGAATGTTTTCAGTTTTCCAAAAATTGTAACGTTGCTGCTTTTGAAAGAAAGAATTTCTCTTCACTCACTCACCTACCTGAGGTGGTTGCAGGTACCTGATTTGTGACCAGTTAAAAGAATTGTGGAGAAAGCTAAGTGTTCTAAGATCCTTTTTGGCTTTTGTCTGTTTAGGATCTAAGAAATATTTTATTTTTTTTTTTTTTTAGAATCATAGAATCCTAGAATGGTTTGGATGGGAAGGGACCTTCAAGACCATCCAGTCCCACCCCCTTCCACCAGCCCAGGTTGCTCCAAGCCCCGTCCAACCTGGCCTTGGACACTTCCAGGGATCCAGGGGCAGCCACAGCTTCTCTGGGAAATTTGTTCCAGGGCCTCCCCACCCTCCCAGGGAAGAATTTCTTCCCAATATCTCATCTAACCCTACCCTCCTTCAGCTTAAAGCCATTCCCCCCTGTGCTGTCCCTCCAGGCCCTTGTGAAAAGTTCCCCTCCAGGGACTTCCTTTATGTGACAAAATATATAATAAAAATGGTCTTTAATCTGAATGTGTTTGGGTTTGTCCTCCGTGGGGGCTCAGTTAAAACAAGTTCCACCCCGTGCTCTTGTGCTCTCCGGGGTTGGACACTCAGTCGGGAATTTGGAGCTGGGTCTTTTTAACAGTTCAGTTTCTATCAGAGGCAGATTCTGGAGCAGTTGGGTGATCTGGGGCACACCCAGGGCTTTGCAGAACCTGGGAAGGGAATTTGGAGAAGGAACATTGCTCCTGTCCCAGGGATCCCTGCTCAGGCTGTGGGATGAGCTGTGTTTCCAGCCCTCTCCCAGGGCATGGCCGTGCTGCTCGCTGGCTCCTCGGTTCTTTTTCCACAGAAGGGAAGAGTGGAAGGCAGGGAGGTAACTGGCAGCCCTGAGAAGTGAGATAGGATCACTTCATGAATTTATGGAATGTCTTACAGCTTTATATACAAAATTATTCATATAAAACCATTGGAGAAGTTGCTGTTATGGTTGTGAATCCCAAATAAAGCTGTCATTTACTTCTCAGCATCCTCTTGCAGTAGCATAAAAAACCTCCCTGAAGTGGCTGAGCAATTATTCTGCTTTGCTTTAAACTTAAGGTGGCCTCAATTTACTGGGATTTTTTTGGTGTTTGTTTGTTTGATGACAAATGAGATGTGTCTGTATTTCCTTCTGTTTGCTGGTTCTCAAATGAGATTTCTGAAACAATGGATTGGTGGAGGCTGTAACACAATATCATCAGCACAAATAAAACACAGGCTGGGAATAAAATAGCTGCTCTGGTCTTTTTCAATAAGTTACAAGATACATTTCTCGTGGCTTTTTGTTGATGAACTTGTTCTGAGCATGTGATGACAGAGCAAAGGGCCAAGGACTGAACCCTTGATTTAGTGCTGGATCCCTCTTGGGAGTTGTGTTTATGTAAGGATTGAGTTTAAAAAAAAAACCAGTGGAGAGGTTGCAGGGTTTTAGCAGGAGAACTTGCTGGGATGAAGGGAAATATTTGGAATTAACATACTGCTTGTTAAATAGTGCATTATATGATGTGTGTCCAAGGGAAATTTCTCTGCTTTTCTTCTCCTCCCGGTTGAAAAGTGGTGAGAGGGAAGAGGCAAGTGACTGAAATTAGTATTGATTCACAGATTTAAGAGCAGGAGCATTCACTTTTTAATTGTTAGGCTAAAGAGCAGGGGCTGCCTGGTGCTTCCACTCTGGGAAATCCGTGGGTTTATTCCTGGGATGGGATGGTTGTAGCTCAGTGCATGTGGCTGGTGTGGGGCACAGAGGGTGCTGAGAAGATGCTGCTAAATTCTCTTGTGGTTTTTTTATGTCTTTCAGGACTTGCAGTGAATGGAGGAGGACACTTTTTACTAGAGGTTTAACTCGTCTAAAGATACCAAGGTAGGAGAATTTTTCCTTCTTATAGTCCCACTTTTCTTTGCAGGAGTTGTTGAATTGTTTAATACAATTGCAGTTGTCTTCAGTTGTTTCTTTGCTGATCTGTGATCACCTGGAATTGGAACGTGGAGCAGGAGGAGCATTGTCTTCCTATATCAGTTTTACTGATTTTTATCCTGATTGTTTCTGTATTTAGAGAAAAAGATGTAGGAATTTTCACATATCAGCGTTTGATCATTCTCTGTCTTTCCCTACTGGAGGTGATCAGCAGGAAAACAGATGTAATGAAATTATATGTAGGATTTTATGTTATTGAGTTCATTCTAACTAAAATATTGATACTTTTTTGTAAACAAAGTGTATAGTAGGGACACTGCATTCTGTAGAAATGTACTTTGGTATCTTAATTGTTTCAAGGCTTTTTTAATATAAAATCCAAAATACTCTGTGTTCTGAGAAAATCTCCAGTGCTTGCCAATGGATTGAGCTTGACTTCTTGAGACTTGAATATTCTTGAGACTTGGGCAGGTTTGCAGAAAAGGCTTACAGCAGCTCCTTAATTAGGTCTATATTTAAGATGTATTTTTGATTATTTAAAAATTAAATAATTCACATTTCCTTTAGTGTCTGAGCAGTGAAGTGCTGTAACGTTTCCCGACACTTTATACATTGCCTAGTTTTTTGTTTTCATTTTTCTGTCACACCAGTGTGTCTTCAAAAGTAACTTCAGACTGAAGGGAGCCTCGAACAGAACGTGCAGTTTGGAGCTGGTGTGCTTTTGACTGATGGGTTTTTGGCTGCTCTGTGTCTTTGCCAAAAGCTGAAATGCAAGAATCTCGCTGCGCTTCGGTCTTGTGGTGTTTTGGGGCAGAATCAGCATTGTTGGTCCTGGCAGAGGGAGGGTTGTTGATTCCAGCTGTAGGAAGTGCCTTAAAATTCCTTCCAAGGCAGTTTGATTCGACTCAACTTGTGCAGGATTGTGCCACGTTTTATTTCAGGCTTAAATACCCGTTCACGTGGTTGTTGATGGAGGCAGCTGCTAATAATGTTTAAAACATGATTTTAGCTGTTCTGGGCAGCACAGAAGGCACTAAAAGCCCTGCAGAGGAGCTGCTGGAAGTGAGGTGATGGCATTCCTAACTTCCCTGTGGTTATCGTTGCTCTCCAAGGCTCTATAATTGACATTGTATATGGAGACTGGAAGAGTCCCTCAGGAATTGTCTGTATCATTAATCCAGAATTAGAAACCGGGTTATGCAAAATGACAAAGCCCTGTTCAAAATTAAATTTCCTTAATTTCAAGGTCACCACATTTTCGTGTTGAAGAGAGAACTGGTTCTGACTTTTGACTTTCTCCTCGTGAGTGATTACATTCTTTCTGTAGAGTTTCTGATCTTATTTTAAGTCGGTGGTAAATCCCAACACTTCAATAAAAATTATTGCTGGAGAAAGCCTTTTCCCAGAAGAGTAAATTCAAACTTTGAGTGAGAATTAAGGTTGCAGGGTGCATTAGTTGGTATTCTGTGGTTGGCAGGGTTATCTGCTGATTGTTGTTGAGAGTGGTGAGTTCCTCTGAGCTCAGAGTGAGTCATGAGCTGTCTGTCAGTACCATCTCTCCTGGAGCAGTTGTGCTTTTGTTCTCCATCCTTCTTACTCAAAGTATGACTGTTCTAGACAAAAGGAAAAACAATGCCCTGTTAGCAGAGGATGAGGAACTCAAGCCTGTCCAGACCTGAGGGATGAAGGGTCTTGTCCTCCTGCCTCCCAGCTCCAGGGGCTGCTGCAGTCTCCATGGCCAAGCTCTTTAACCCTCTGGAAGTGCTGTTTTCCAAGCACAGCACCACCGGGAGCTGTTCCTCAGACTAAACTGTGTGGGTTTTCATAATAACACAGTGCTTGTCTCCTTCCTCTCGGGCTCTAACTGTATAAAAATTACCTGTGAACACAAACCCCACAGACTTGAAGTGAACATCATCACCACAGACTCATCAAGGAATATGTTTGGCCACATTCACCTCGGGGCTGTTGTTGGGAACTCCACAAACACGGGACTATTACCATGTTATGCTCTCAGAACTGCTTTTTAACTGGAGCATTACCAGCTGCTCTGTTTGATAAAACAAAAGCAGAGGTTGAAGCTGCTTCCTTGTGAGACGTCGTCACGTTGATGTTCCTGCCCACGTTTTTCCAGTGGGGATGCTGGTTTTGGTGTTTTGTGGATCTGTGTTTATGTCTTTCCATCAAAGGTAGCTGGAGAAGCAGAGAAAGTGGGGGCATCTCAGGAGAACAGGAGAGAGCACGAGTTCCAGGGCTCAGTGCAGGATCTGTAGGAAAGACAAGTCAAGATGCCTCCAAGTATTTGAGGAGGGGCCCAAGGGGATGAACATCAAGCCCCCCATCACCAATATTAGTCTTCAGGCTTTTGGGAGGGAATGAACATCAAACAATTCATTTTTGTTCACATACAGTTGTTCTAAAGCCTATTAGTTTAGAGAACTTCGTTTAATAAACTCTTAATTGCTTAAAGACCTCTAATTGGTAGGGTTTAGTCCTTTCAGTTCCTTTGTTGTTTTCTTATTTCCAAGTAATCCTCGAAGTTCTTGGCATGCTTGCTGGGTCCCAACAATGCTGTTTTCATTCCTGAAGTTCCTGGAAATATTTCATCTCTGAATTTTGCTCCCGTGTGTTTAAAGTGCACACGGACCAAGCTCACAAAAATATGTGTTTCTTTTGACTTCAGTGTTGTTGTAGTCAGTTATTCCCACTCCTGGGGTGAGTCAGGGTGTTCTGGGAGGCAGAGTTTAATGGATTGGATCATCATGGATGATCCAGGAGCTTCTACCAGCCCCTGATGGTTCTCAGTGGTGACTTGTGACAGCCCCAGTCCTCCCGTGAGCGTCCAAGTGTGGCTTTCAATGTTCTCTGGTCCCCATCATTGGGCTCTGTCTCAAAACATCCTCTTGAATTTCGTGACAGTTTAAAATGAGAGTTCAACTTAAACTCTGAATAATTGATTTGAGGAGCATGGGAAGTCTCAGTCTGGCAGCAGTTACAGATTTCTGTGTACAATATGAGTTGTATGTGGAGTAAATGCTTGAAAGACAAACTCTGTTGTGTGTTTTCCTTTCATTTATCAATTTCTTTCATCTTGTGATAATTAGCTTTAGAAATCTGTCACTTGTATAAAAAAAAGTCCTTGTTACCTCTTCCTTCCCGAAGCTTGACTGCTCTTTAAAAGTGGTTCGCTAATTTATGAAAGGTTAGATTTTCTGTTCACAAAAAATGTTAATTTAGGCTTTACATGTTGTTAAATCCTGAAAACTAACACTCAGAAAGGTTCCCTTTTTTGGCATCTTAATGTAAGATACTTATTATGCACACTTATTAATTTCTACTGTGGTGAGTTCAGCTTTGCTCATGAAGAGAGAGAATCTCATGCTCCCAGGAACCTTTGAGATGGAATGTTTTATGAGGAAGGAGTTTTTCTGTTATTTTGCATAACTGAGTGTATTTTCTCTCAAAGGACTTTGGGGTGGGGTTTTTTTGGTTTGTTTTTGGTTTTGTTTTGTTGTCATTTTGGTGATTTTTTTTTTTGTTTGTTTTGGTTTGGGGTTTTTTTGTTGTTGTTGTTTTGGTTTTGGGGTTTTTTTGAAAACCACATAAGGAATCATTCTTTTAAAAAAAATTTCTTTCCATCATTCTTTTTGGGAATTGAGGGAATGTGATGCCTCAGGATCTTACCAAGTGGACAAAGGAGATGAATAAAGGAATGAGCAGTGAGACTGTCATTGAAAAAACGTCTTTTAATAGGGGTTTGCTAATACTTTTACTTTATCTATCAATATAATATTTTGAGAATTTTTGACTCCATAGTGTTCATAAACTTCTGCTGAATATTATGAAGGTCCTGGAAGCAAATTGTGTCTTCATTTGCTGCTGCCTGACCCAGACAGGAGCTGATGGGATCCCATGGGCTGGCACAGAGGTGTTCCTGTGCACAGCCTTGGACTTTTCTCTTCAACCACAAATTAATATCTGAAGAGGCAGCTGCCAGAACTGTTGAACCACCTCCAATTTGGCAACAAAGACTTTTTTTTTTTGTTGTTGTTAAGTTGTCCTTTTCACCCATCGAGTTAAAGCTCTGCTGTGCTGCTGAAATTCGGGAGCATCATTGTAAAGCACAGACTGGTTGGGCCTTCTCCTGGCTAAAATTTCAATTGTGAACACATATATAAAGAAATCTGTTTCTTTTAAAGTGTTTGGAACACCAAAATGTTTACAGTAGCTTTATTTCCTACCAATGCCTGTCCCTCGTGGGTATTTTCACTACAGAGGCGAGAAAGGAACCGAAAACTTAAAGGGGAAATAAAATCCTTAAGAAATGTGCTTTTCACATATGACTTGTTGCATTCCCTTCCTCTTTTTGTAGTTAGAAACTTGTGGAAAAAACCCAGAGTTCTAATCTGAGGATATGCATTTAATAGCTTCTCCTATTAACGTGCACAAAACTTGCCAGCAGTGGCTCAGCGATGTTTGTCCGACTCACTGCACATCAAACACCCTTTTGAACAAGAGCTTAGCTTTGCTAATCAGCTTTCTATAAAGAAATAATTTTATTTTTAGTGAGGTGATCAGAGAAGAGGAAAATACAGGGATCTGGCTTTCTGCTGGTGGTATATGGGCGACAAAAAAAAATTGCTGTGATTTTTAATTCTGTGTCTTTTCTATAAAAAGAAGCCAAACCGACTTCTGTGGGCTGTAATAATGTGTAGCCACCCAAAATGTGAAGTGGCTTTTGCAGCCTGTCTGCAAACTCTTGTCTTAAAATTAAGAAAACAAAGCAATAGGCCTTAGTTTAGTCATTGCAGAGGATTTAATGAGCTGTCCCAGATTTGTTGGGACTTAGTGCTCAGTGTAAGGTTGCAGAGCTCAGTCTGCCTCTACCTCCCTTACCTTTGGGGTTGTGTTTTTTTTTCCCCCTCATTATATTTGTGCTGCTGCCTCCTCATGCTCCAGAAACTGCTGTGGATTGTGTATTCAACTGAAATTTAGATTTCTTAGAGGATAAAACAACACGGGGCAGAGCGTGTGGACATAAAACAGATTCTTGAGCTGTTTGTTCTAAAAAGCCATTGTAGGGGTTGTACCTTTTTATTCACCTGCTGGTGCTGTTTGGAGACTGGTGCTCACACAAGTCTTCATTAGGTTTGGTTAATTCAAGTTACAGAGGAGAAGATAAATGACCAGTAAAGTGTAGGAGCTCTTGGTTGCCCGAATTGATGACAGTTATCCCGTGGCAGTGGAGATGGGAAGGGACCCACATCAGATTCCTGCAGCTTTTGCTTCTGCTGGCACAGGGAATTAACCTGGGCTGGGAGATGCATTTAGGAGCTTGTTGGGGGGTGAAAAAAGGCCTGATCCAGCTCCTCCTAATAATGTAATGCCATTTGCTGTTTAATCCTTCTAATTCCATGAACTAATACGAGCAACAGAATTTTTAATTTCGAGTGCTTATTCTTAAACGTTCTTTCTGGCTCAGTGTCAGTGAACAGAGGAAGAGCTGTGACCACGTTTGCTCAAAGCCATGAAAGGACGTGGCAGTGCATGAAAATGGAAAGCAGCAGCTGGTTCTGGTCACCTGCTGAACCTGCTGCTCTGTGATGTGCAAACCTCACTCAGGATGTGAGTCTGGTGAGTGCTCACACTCAGAGTTCCTCAGCACTGTGTGTGTGGGACGCAGGGAGAAACCACGGCAGAAGCTGCTGCTAAAGTGAAATCACAGAATCAAAGTGGTTTGGGTTGGAAAGGACCTTCAAGATCGTCTTGTCCCACCCCTTGCCAAGGGCAGGGACACCTTCCACTAGCCCAGGCTGCTCAGAGCCACATCCAACAGACCTTTCTTTCCATCTGTACAAGTTTCGAGCTGGCTTCCCACCAAGTCCCTGGAACCCGACAACAAGGACCTGCTTTCCCAGAGAGCAAAGGAAAAAAAACGACCTAAGCAGCCAAAGCTATAGCAAAAAAAATATATATATATTTATATGAGACAGATATATACAATGAGAATGCTATACACCACAATAGAAATCCTAAATAGCTCCCCAAAAGGGGAGACGGGAAGGGAGAAGGGAAAAGGACAAAAAAAGGACTAAGACCAAAGAAAGCCTACACAATCTAAGCAACCAGACAACTGAAGGTAAATTAGCAAAATCTCACCACTTCCCTTTGAACAAGCAGGATGGCTAGACACAGCCCAGCACTCTCCCCTCACGCGTGGCAGATAACAGCAGTCGCTGTAGGCCTCAGCTCCAGATAAGCCAGACCGAGACAGGGACCCACCGTTCTCGAACCTCACCGGAAAGGAAGAGAGCAAGGTCCCTCCTGCTGGCTTTATTTATACCTCCAGTTACGTAAAGGAATAGCATGGAATACTTCCATGATCACCTTCCTAGTTCCTTCCTGGTTACAAGCTGGTCTCCAGGAAGGCCTAGAGTGAAACCATCACACCGTCTCCCACCTGGGATGCTTCAAAGGCGACCTAAACTTTGTTTAGGAGCCCTGGGAATGAGCCTAAACACCAGCTCCTTGTGTTTTGATGGCCCAGGTGATGCTCATGTAATTCATAAATGCAAATGAAATTCCGGTTCTGCGTTTTCTGTTTGATATTCATCCGTGCATGAATCCATTCTTGCACACAGACAGACCCTAAAACCTGCTTGTGAGATCTGATAAGTGAGTGGGAACTTGGGGAAGTCAGGACAGGCTGGAGTTGCTGTCACCCCTCTGTGCTGCCAGGGGTTTGGGATGTGTGTGCTCCAAGCTGCCGCCCTGGAATGCTGGTGTCTCTCTGTGAATAAATCATATTAAAAGGACTTTCAGTGGCTTTAAATATACATAGAAAGCTCTTTGAACTAGGTATTATTGTATTAATAGACTTGAAAATATCAGATAAGTGAAGAAACTCAAGATGGCATTTCCTGAGCATCCTCCAAGAGAGGAACCTAATATTGTTACAGGGAAAAATGTCATTATTTATTTCTACAAGATTAATGTGTTACCTTGTAACTGTGGAAGATCGTGTGTACAATAGAAGGAAAATTGTGGTTTGTTGTATGTCCTGATCAAAGACTCTTTACAATCCTTTTGGTCTGGTTTGGAGCTGCTTTTGTTGGAGGTGTTTTGATGCTTTACCTGCTTTAATAAGTGGCTGTTCCCCAGCACAGGCTGTCACTGTGCCTGGTGATCCCAGACACTCTTTTATCTTCAGCAACACTCAGACAACCTTTTTTTTTTTTTACCTGAGACATACAGAGCAAGGAAAATGTAGGGATAATGTTTCTGTTTGATTTTTTGCATCAGTTACTCCGGGTTTGAGTGACTTGTCTCCTCATGACAATTTATTCAACTCACAAAGAATTTGACAGTGAGCCACGGCTGGAGCCGGGCTTGGTGTCAGCAGGATTGATTTTCTGAGCAACAGGAAGGGCAGCAACTCCTTCTGATGGGTTTGGCTTTAACAGAGGTGGGAAATGGAGGCAGTTTGCAAAATGCTGAGTCTTTGCCACTTCAGTGTGATGGTAATTCAGTCAAACTATTTAACAAAATAGGCAGGTGCTGGAAATAGCCTGGAGAGCAACGAGGCTGGGGAAGGGACTGGAGCACAAGTGCTGTGAGGAGAGGCTGAGGGAGCTGGGGCTGTTCAGCCTGGAGAAGAGGAGGCTCAGGGGAGACCTCCTCACTCTCTGCAACTCCCTGACAGGAGGGGGGAGCCGGGGGGGGGGGGGGGTGTCCCTTTTCCCAGGCAACCATCAGCAAGACAAGAGGGCTCGGTCTGAAGCTGTGCCAGGGGAGGGTTAGGTTGGAGATTAGAAAGAATTTCTTTGCAGAGAGGGTGCTCAGCCACTGGAATGGGCTGCCCAGGGTGTGGTGGATTCTCCATCCCTGGAGGTGTTTAAGGTGAGCCTGGATGTGGCATCAGTGCCATGGGCTGGGAACCACAGCGGGGTTGGATCAAGGGTTGGACTTGATGATCTCAGAGGTCCCTTCCAACCCATCTGATTCTATGATTCTGTGATTCTATGATTCTATGAACTGAAAACAAGCTGAATGGTGGGCTTTTTGTGGATGTTGATTTTCGTTGTTAGAGACTGTATTGACAAAGTAATTTTTCATCATTTTAAGTTTTTCTCTCAGGTTTAGCAATTTTTTACCGCTTCATAACTGTTTTCCTGTTGTCCAGATCGGAGTTGGTTTTGATTTTTGTCCATCTGTGTTGTTCTGCTTTTCGCAGTGTTTGGGATACACCGAGTGGAACGGGATCACCATGTTTCGAAACAGTCTCAAGATGCTTCTCACAGGAGGGAAGTCGAACCGCAAAAACAGGTCCAGTGGTAAGTAACAGTCACCTCCTCGAGTGTGGGACAGTGACAGCTCTGCCACCACCCCTTCCATGTGTGTTCTGGGCTTTTCTTCTTGTTGATGAGCACATGGGCTCAGCTGATGATCTCAAAACATCATTACACTTCATTTTAATGCTGTGATTTTAATATTTGAAAATACATGTATATTTATTTAAAGTGTATGTAAACCATCATCTGCTTATATTGGGGAGATGAGATGTAGGGAAAAACAAGGAGTAAACAAACGTCAAGGTTCGTGTTTCGGTTGTGGAAAATAAGAAAATAACTTTTTTCCTCCCTCTCCAAATACCTGTAATAACTTGTGGCAGTGAAATCTGCTTTGTTACAGACAAAACTGGTGATGGCAGCAGCAATTTCTTTTTTTTTTGTTTGTTTTTTCTAACTTTTAAACAGGAGGGAGAGAGAGGACTGGGAAGAGGTGGAATCAAAAGAGTAATTGCCCAAATTTGGTCATCGTTTCTGTCACTCTCCTTTTTCCACCAGCCCAAGAAAGGAGTTTACAATTAGCACTGGTTGATGTGGCTTGGCCTGTTTGATCTGTGATGGAGATTGGGGGAGATTGTAATTGTGAAGCAAAACATGACAAAAATATTGATAGGCTCGAAAAACGTTGGGTTTTTTTTTATTTTTTTTTATTTAACTTTTGTAGTTATTTCCAAAAATGGAGTGTTGGCAGGGTAAGAGCTTTTAATTAGATCTTTCATTTCGATTTTTTTTTTTTTAAAACCATCTGGCAGCACATATTAAATATTTTGGGATACAGTGTTTATTTGTGCTTGTGCATCTGTGTAAATAGTGCATATGGATGTTCCTTGGGAAACCACGAGTGAGGATGTGGAGATCCAGTGGTGATAAATTCAATGGAAAAACGGGCTGTTTTCCTTTGGGTGAAGTGAGTTATTCTGTGTTTCTCACGTTGCCAGAACTTGCCCCCTCATTTTTAATGTGTGGTGAGAGTCCTGGGTGTCTTGCTTGATCCTGAAGATATTTTCATGAGAAGTTCAAGCAGTTCATCCTGGTTTTGTGCTTGGTGTGGATCTCAAAGCAGGAAAAAGGCTGTTTTGCCAGGACTTCTGTAGGAATTCTGGCTGGAGGTGGTGATTGTCATCCATGGCTTTGTAAAGGAGATTTTCCTTCCGTAGGAACTCCTCGGTGTTCTGCTGCTGGAGTGGTTCATCTGAGGGAGGGACCTGCATGGAAAGGCAGGTTTGGGGAAGCCCCACGAGCAGATGGCTCCATCCTCTTGGGATTTGTGTCACATTGGCAGTTTAAAGCCTGGGAAAGGACAAGGCCTCTGATACCTTCAGAAAACCAACACAGTCAAAGTTGTGGTTTTCTAGATGAAGCCCTCTCTTCTGTCAGATCCTCTGTTACCAGGCCTTATTTTTCCTTTTGCCTTGTTCCCCCGAGCAATACTGAGGATCTTGCACATGCACAGCTCTGCAAATATGTGTTTGTTGTTTTGTGAATGGAAAATGTCAGTTCTGAGGAGAAGAGATGGGTTTTTTCTTATTCGTATATTGAAAAATAACATGACAGAATTTAATGGATGAGGTTTCTTCTAATGCCTAATGACTGTGCTGTATGTTTAATTTATTACAATTCTGCCTTTGAAATAAGTTGCTTTATTGAGAATTCCGTTTGACAGTCTTCAGGGCAGGAGGGGGAATAGGAAAAGGAGATGATCAGGTTTGTTGTATTAACAGTGACTAAATGAAAACATCCCTCCACTGGAAAACAATTTTTCAGATAAGCCATCAAACTATAACAGGACATTAGATGAATTCATTGCTGCCTCAATTTTTTAAAAATAAATACATTGAATTCTGTGTTTCTTTGCAACACAGTAAGAAAAAAAATCTGTAAATCTTCCACATACATTTCTGTGTTGCATTCAGCATTATAAGCCTAAAATTTGCTTTACTTATTTGCCTTGCAGTTCTGGCAAACTACAAATTTGATACTTCAAAAGCAGATTAAAAAGGAGAGAACTTAGCTAATAGTATAGAAAAGACATTTGTCACCCTGTCACTGACAAGACCTTGAGGAATCTCTCACCTCCTGGAATAAATTCTAGAATGGTTTGAGTTGGAAGGGAGCTTAAAGATCATCCAGTGCCACCCCCTGCCATGGGCAGGGACACCTTCCACCAGCCCAGGTTGCTCCAAATTTATCCAACCTGGCCTTGGACACTTCCAGGGATCCAGGGGCAGCCACAACCTCTCTGGGGAACCTGTGCCAGGCCCTCCCCACCCTCACAGTGCATGCACCTGTCTAAAACCTGGGTGTTCCTTCTCTTTAACTCCTTAATTTTCACGTGGTCAGTGCAGACCTTCAGGTCCCTCCACCGCTGTTGCCTTCACTGGTAGGATTTTGTCTGGGCACTTTCTGTGGGGACACTGAGGGGTTTTAGGACCTTCCTCCGTTCAGGTGCTTTAAAAAGATAAGGTATTTATTGACATTTTAAATTTATTTATCATTACAATGATGTAGAATGGCCATGGGAAGCTGGAAGTGAAGCCTCCCTGATGGTTTTGGTGCCCTGGTTTGTCCCCGTGGCCTCAGAGCTAAACCCATCTCTGAGAACTGGGAATAAACTCCCAAGTCCTGAGTTCTGTGTTGGGAAAAATCAATCTGTTGGAGGTTTCAGGTGTGCCTGAAAAGGAAGATTCACCTGCCATGTGCTGAGTTGAGGTTCTGTGGGTGGGTGACAGCCCACCAGGGTGTCTCTGTGTGTGTTGTGTGTCTTCGTTTCCTGCACTCCCTTCATTTTGCATTCCACTGTGGGAATAAACCTTTGAAGCAGGTTAAAGGTATTGTGTTCTTTTCTTGGGGAATCCAAGGGAGCACAGTGGCCTTTGAAATTCCTGTGCTTTGCTGTGTCTTTCATTTGCAGTAGCAGTTCCCAAACAGGGGCAGTGGAGTCAAGCTAACAATTCCAAGAGGCTCTGATGTGGTTTTGATCGTTCTTCCTGATTAAAAGATCCCCGGTAGTGGTAGCAGTAAAATGCCTTCTTATTATTCCTCCTTCAGAAACTGCTGAGCAGATTCTCTAAGAACTGTGGTTAACATTTATTTGGACTCAGCCAGGGTGGGTTTTCCCCCTTTGGTACTCGATGGTGTTGTGGTTCAGGAACACACAAAATATTTTTATAAGAAGAATACAGTTACATATGTCTGAACATATAGTTGCATGCAGTAATGCCAATTAAAATAAATGGATTTCCACTGCAACATCAGACTATGTAATGCCCTGTGGTTAAATCTGGGGGTCTGGGTGTCCTTTCAGAGCTTCACTCCTGGGGTTTCACAGTGCTCAGCCCATGTGTGTGTGAGCACATATTTAATCTCTTGTCTTAACAAAAATTCTCCTGTGACTCAAGGGCACTCAGGATGGTTTACAGTAATGCCTTGAGGACACATTATGCCTGCAATAGTGTTTTGATTAGGCTGTATTTCCTTCTGACATAAATGGATATTCCCCAAAGCTGCCAGACAGCTGAGCAGAGTTACAGATCACTTTGGTTTTTCCAGTGTAAATTAATTTAGAGAGATGCAGACATACAAGTTCTCTGACTCATGTTCGTATCCAGAGTTATATTTATGAGGGATGTGTTTGTTTTAGAGTGTCAGAAGACTGTGCTTTGCTCCATCCTGTTATTCCTTCTGGCTGAAGATCCAGCAGGATGACAGTGGCCAGGGCAGGCAGGTGCATTAAACACCTTCTCACTGCTGCTTCCCAGAGTGTTTGAGGCTTCTTTCCCCCTAATTGAGCCCTTCTTCCAGGGCAGTTCTGTTCTCTGAATCCACATTCTGGAAGGTTCTCTGGTTTTATTTGTTTGTCAAGGACCTGTCTCATATTTATCTGCAGTTCTTTCTTGCTTGTTCTAATCATTCCTTGCTCTGGGTGTGTGTTCCAGTAGTGCACATCACAGCAGTGCACTCATGGATTCACTCCAGGATCCTGTTAGGGAAATAAGCCCATCTAATGGATCCAATCATTCCACCTATTACAGTTATCCTGGTTCTTTTACAAGCAGATGGACTATTTCCTTCTTACATTATCACATTAAATTAATACCACTGTAAGAGCTCAGATTCCCTTCAGAACCTGGTGAAATTCAGCTGCAAAACTGCAGGTTTTGTTTGGTTTTATATTTCTCTTCACTTTGTGAGGTGTAAGCCCAGGAATTTGTGCCTTTTATTTCTGGCAGAGGCCGAGATAGGTTTTAAAGTACTCATTTTTTTTTTTTCATGTTAAATTTATCTGAGGCATGTAATCCTTAGCCCAAAGGGCCTGCTTTTCTCTTCTGAGTTAGTCAGGAATTATATCCTGCTTGTTCTTAACTCTAAAATGCACAATTTTTATCTGGAGCTTCCCAGCCAGGAGCCTGCCTGTCATTCAGGGTATTTTTGGTGCAGGGTTTTTTAAAACCTGTTCTTCTTTCCTGGTTCACAGAAGACCCAATTACTTCTCACTTCCAGTGTATTTATAGGGCCTTTTGGAACCTGCCACTTTATATTTTAATTCCAGGACTGAAAGAGCCCCTGTCAAATGCTCTTCTCCTTTGATTCCTGCCTTTGGAAGATAAAAGGCATTTCTGTGAAGGTCTCATTACTGCTTGGCCAGAACTGCAGGCACTTTCTCATCTATCTGATCTCTTTTGGAAGTCTGAGGATAATTTTTTGCCCCCAAAGAGTTGGAGGGTCACAATTGCTTTTTCGATTTCATTTCTGAAAGAAATTGCTGAGTGATGAGATCCAGCTGGTGGGTCCTCTGAGATGTCAGGGAACTTAATTTAAGGAGGTGTTAGAAGTGAGGTGTTAAAAGACCTTAAAAGTATTATGGCACTGAATCACTAATGTATCCACGTGTTCAAGGTGTTCCATCCAAATAATAATAATAACTCAGACCCTTTTCTTCCACCAAGTTTGCTGGTTTTTCATAAATCCATTTTTAAACAAGTCTG